GGTGACAAATACCAGTACTACAGAAGGTAACGGATGGTTTCTTTTACCTAAATAAATGAAAAAAAAATCTATAATTGTTGCTGTGATTTAACACTCGAAGCTCCACAGGCTTAAAGGGCTAGTGCTGAATATTATAATCAACTCAAGATGGCAATCAAAGAGCAAGTATTTAGGAAATTAAAAATTTGATTTAAGTTAGTCGATGTTTGTAACAGGGATTAAGATACAAGTCATATGCGTCTAGTTTCTGTTTAATGGAAACTTCAATTTAATTTTTAGTAATATTCGGAAATGAGCCTTCTCTAATATATATTCTTTAAAGTAATGCGTTTGAACATCTATAGTTTTTCTATATTTTGCAAATATTATGCGTCCAAAAGATAAAACACTCTCACACTTAAGTCATTTTTCAGTTCATTCATACATGAAAATGGTATTTTAACAGTTCAACATAGTATTTTTTTCTCTATCACTCAGTGAGGGCTCAAAAATGTTGAGTGATGCTTGATAAGGCAAGAGTTTCCCTGAAAGCATTGCTTGTAAATTTTAAGATCTTCTCCCAGTGTTTTCTCTATGCTTATGTTCAGTCTTTAGTTGTTCTGTTTTTTACAGTATTTAGTTCCTGTATTTCCTGCATGTATCTGTGTTTCTTCATCGACAGCTAATTTCCCCTCAGTCAGCTCCGCCCACTCTCACCTGTACCCATTTGTCATGAATTCCAGGTGTGTCTCAACTTTACTGACCAGTCCGCTTTTAATGTTTATGACCTGATCAACAGAAATGCTGCCTGCCGTGGAGATTGTGGCCAAACCAGATTATCCAGTTGCTGCAGGTCAAGAAGTGCGCTTATGCTGCAACAGTACCCCCGTCTCAATGCCCGTCAACTGGACTTGGTTACACCTGCAGGACAAAAGCTGGAAAGAGGTGGGTTTTGAGAGGCAACTGACTCTCGCCAAGCCAGAAGAATCTGGGCAGTACCAGTGCAAGGCCGAGACCCGGATGCAAATGAAACAGAGCCGAAACTACACCGTCTATATCGTCTCTTTTCAAGCAACAGGTTGGCAATTGTTTGGGTTCTTTTGGTGTTTAAAGGAAAATCACCTTTTCAAGTTTTTAATTCAAGTTTGTACTTCTTGGTGGTGTTCATTAAAGAGCACATATTTTTAAATCCTTAGTTTTCACATTTAACTCATTCAGTTGGGGTCTATATGAAGTGGAACTGCAATGCTTTGGTCTGAATTCCTCCTTATTGTAACTCCACAAGCCCCTCTTTCAYCCCTTTTCTGAGATGTGTCTCAGATCAACTCATTTTCAGACTGTCTCTTTAAATCTAAACAAGGCACTTCACACCCTGCCCCACTCCAGCTTCCAGACCAGTCCATTGTAGTTTGATAGAGGAACATACAACTATATAACGGTACAGAAACTTTTTATTTACAAATTTATTAAAAGATGTCAACGACAGAAGACTTGACATCCAGACTTACATGTCGGAGCCAGAGTCTGAGCCAGAAAGAGAGAAGAATGAAGACAATCATWTTGTAGCTGGTAAATCCAGACCTTGGCAGTTCTGTCGCAAATCCTGTGATTTAATAGTTCCTTAAACATAATGGAAAATTAAAAAAACAAAAGGAGTTGAAAAATATGACCCTAACAGAATATAAAGATATGTTTGCAGCACACAACAAAATRCATTTAAGGGCTATAAAAGTGGATTTGGTAAATGGTAAATAGACCAAACTTATATACTTCATAAAGTCCCACCAGACTCCAAAGCATTTTACATTTACAGACATTCACACACTGATGATGGTAAGCTACATTGTAGCTACAGCTGCCCTGGGGCACGACAGAGGCAATATATGTCCCCCTTAAGAAAAAACAGTAGCTAATCAGGCTGTTAATCGTCATCATGARTAATTTATTCTGTGACAAAACAACTAACATCCTTTGTCTCATCTTCTGTGCTGTTTGCTCAACTACTGTTAGTTGGGGAGAAATTAGGAATAGCTGCCTTTGCTCTAACTATCGTGATCTTGGTTGCCATCATCGCTGGTGCCRTTTGGTTTGTTTGGCAAAATCTCAGAGAGAAACCGGCCACCCCCAGCACTCCAAACAAAAGTAAAAAAAACTCACCGAAAGCTTCAGTTTAATCAAAATAGGATTAAAATTATCCGTGGATCGTCATAACTCTTGTTTTTGTCTTTTTTGCCTTTAAGGTGTYCCCGGACCTAAAGCAGTACCAAAGTAAGTCCTGTTACAAATTCATGTTTTCTACACAGGAATCTCTGTAACTGATGGTTGCAACACAATGACCGTCTCTCTCTCTTCATCAGGGCTTTCTCACCGCCRGCTGACGGTGACAGAGACGTGTACATGAATTACACGCACACCGACCAGTCCTACGTGGACCTCAATCCTGCCCATTTGTACCAGGATAATTTATACTCGACTCTGTCGTGAACGAGGATCTTAGTTAAGGTGGAAAAAAAAAAGCTGAGTTTGCTTTATTCAGCTGCTGACCAAGGCCACGTATCTGCACACACACTCGTACGTCTCTGCAGCTGAGGTTGAATTCCTGCTTGTATGATTTGTTATAGATTAGATCTACTTTCACATCCCTTTTGTAAAGTCAAYGTAAAGTCAATAGGTTAAGCACTTTCAGAACGAGATGTTGCTATCATTGATCAGATAACGGTCGGTTCTCGAGCTGTCTCGTTTGTTTTTGTCAGATTCTGTTTTTCACATCCACATTTTGAGTACACGTTAACACAGATGCTGTTTTAATTAAAAAAGAAAAATAAAAGCTCCAAGTATAAAACAACACAAATATGTTTTTTTTTACCACAGATATGTAATTTTCATGTGACAAATGAAATGGCAGGGGTGTGACGGTACATTAAAATATGATTTGGTACAGCAGAAAAAGAAAAAATTGCTACTTTTTGCTTAATTTAAATAAATATCTCAAGAAAGCAGAGACAGAAAAAGTTAAACCCTTAAGTTCAATAATGTGTCATTTATTATTTTTACAACACAGTTAAAAGAGTATTTATTTAGTTTATTTCTTTTAATCTGGTTTATCTGGTTTGATAAACCACAAACTGTTTTTAAAAAATCAGCCACTACAATATATCCTTTTTTTGCTTGGATGGAATGCTGACGTGACACTTCTGYAGAACACACTGTGCAAATCTTTTAGGTATACACAAAGAGGAAATAAAGAGTACATTATTTCTCCTCCTGGGTGTTGCTTAACAGGATATGACACAAGCAACACTGTGAAAAGTACCATCGTTGTCGTCACTTCATAACTTTATTGCCCTTTATCAAAGTTACGCAACACCATAAAATTCAAGTTTTGTGCCTAAGTATTGTTACGAATCGACCAAATGCAATCTTTTTTTTAATTACTTCTAAGACTAGTGTAATAAAACAATTAAACATGTCACGTCCTTGAATAAGTGAACATTTTTATGTAGATTTATTTTATGTTTAAATATACTTGCATTGTGTTTTGTGTTTACAAAACTTCTGCTTTTCAGTGTTATTCAGGAAGAGCAGAAGTTCTGCTGCAACTTGCATCACTGCTCCAACACAAGATTTTTTGTAATAACAGGTGGGGCCACATTAAAGGTTTTACAAAGATCCTGCTGGTAAGAAGCTCCTCACATGTCAGATCATAAATATAAAAACATAAAACTATAATCACGAGCAGAGAAATACAATCAGGATGTTTTTATTGACAGCTTTGAGGTTGTGTTGGTGCTGTYTCCACTTTGACAGTTTTTGGCATCGTAAGCCCAAGCTGATTTTTAAATTAGATTCCTTAAAGATGTGGAGTGACCCAACTCACTCTGTAGGAATATTTCTGTCAGACGGCATTAAACCCACATTTCCTGGGAATTCTGCCTTCCCAAAAAGGAGTGTTTTCTTGTTGAATTTGATTTGGTTTAATTGCTAGGCTATAACAACAGGCTGAAAAACTGTATGGGAGTAASATCATGAGCTGCTGTGTAATTCAGGAAAAAAGTTCAATCAGGTAGCCAATTATAACAACTTTATTTAAAAAAATGTGCAACAAAAGGCATAAAGTCAAGACAATCCTATATTACATGTATGTGAGTTCACAAAGCAAACAATGAGACTAAAAACCTCAAACAACCGTTCCTCCGACTTACACATAAAAAACTCACCAAATAAATAATTGTATATGGTAATATTAGACAATTTGATGTTATTTTCCTTTAGAGGAAAAGTAGAGCCATATATGAGCTTTCACAGTAGAATAAACAAAAACGTTTTTTTTTTTTTTCTGTCCTCAAATGGAAAGTTTCTCATTGATGCAGCAGCGCAGCATTTACAGGAGTAAATTTGGTAAGTTCCTCACAAAAAGGAGAAACAAAAATAGATTGCTTGGTGAAAAGTCAGAGTTTGTGGCTATTAGAAAGAAAGATAAAAGAAAAAACTTTGTGTTAGTTCTTCCATGGAGACTGTGTGTTATCTGTCGTATTTAAATATTCCGGTTAGGCTTAGACATGATAATTGTGAATTAAAATAAATCTAGGMTGGCAGAAACACAAAGTGTATCATTTTAATTAAATCTACATACACCCTGCTGTTTATGGCACCAATCTCTGTTAAAGGGGAAATATCATGTAAATTCAACTTATTTTTAGTTTTATATCAAATATCATATATTATATCATATAGCTCTTTTCAGATTAAAAATACCTTTGAGGAAATGTATTTTCAGATGCCAAGTAAACTGCATCATGGCAGCCCCCACCCCTCCCCCATGAGCGCGATCCCCAGACAGAAGAGGAAGGTGAAGGTGGTTCTTAAAGAGACAGGGGTCAATTTCAAGGCATTTAGAAGAGGAAGTGATGAGAAGATAAGTTTATTTTCTATTTAAACATAAAAGCAGCATTTTAATAACAACTAAAGGTGACATAGATACTTTATTATGGTATAGTATTTAAATATATGCCTGAGAAACACATAATATTGGCCCTTTAAAAATGTATTTCAATCTGTGAGCAAAATATCTCATAAATGAGAGGACAATAAATAACGAAACCCATTTCGCAGTAACAAGTGTGCATGGACCTGGTGGAGCTTAACTCTTATAGAAAYGTCATTGGAATTTCTCAAATTTAACAAGCAAAATTAAGATTTACAAACAAAGTAAATTTATGAAAAATCTCAGTTATCATCCTAAAGGAAAGTTTAACACAAAACAATTTAGAGCAAATTCATTGGGTCTGTATAAAAACATAAATTTACCGGTTAAATTTATTAAATTCCAGTGGCATTTCCAGAGCAACACCGCAAGATGTCAGAGTTTGGCCACTTTGCACATTTGTAACTATTTTTTTAACTACAAAACCATCTGTTGTTGGATGTACAACTTAATTTAACATGGCCACCTCTCCTTGGCAAACACAAAACTGGCAACACCTCAGTCAGTTTTACAGACACCGAACTAAAATCTGAAATAGTACAAGTTGAGAATCATCCCCATCATTCACCACAAGTGCCAACAGTTTGAGAGGCATCATGGTTTAAAACTTTGGCAACGTGTTTTCCTTCAAGGCAGAGTTATTAATATAAACTACTTAAAAGCAAATGAATGAAGGCCACAAATATGACAAAAACGCAATATTTACAAAAATATATTTAACAGTCAATAGAGAAAATACATAAAATAAAAAAGCTGCAACAAAATATAATTGTAATATTTCACAGTAACAATATGTGCCAAATACAGACCAATTTTTATACAGTTTTAATAAACACATTAGAAATATTTTAGCTATTCCTCGTTGGGTTGTTGGAATCTCTGGCTCTGATTTTTGCTGTCCATTGAAAGCTGCGTGTTGGCTGTGTAAGAGCAGGCCTCCCCCCTCGAAAGCTTTTTAAAKTGGTCCACGATAAACCTCCGAAACTTCCTTGTGGCAAAGAAGTAAACCACGGGATCCAAAACGCAGTTGAGCCCCATGAGGACCAAAGTTATTTGATGTGAGTCGTTCAGTATTTGACGGGTGTTCTGGGACCAGTTCACTTGGCCCCATCCCTCAGAGATTTGTAGCGTTGCCAGCACCCAGGGGCCTTGAACAATGTGGTGAGGCAGAAAACACAGAACAAATACGCCCACGACGGCCAGGAGCATCTGCAGCGCTCTTCGTTTGACTCCTTTAGGCCTTTTAGAGGGAGAGAGCGTCATCGTGTTGGACCTTTTGGAGATGATTGTGTCCGAGCGAAAATTGCTTTTTGAAATCTGTTGAGAAAGTAAGGCTCGAGCGATGAGGAAATTACACACAACRACAAGGAAAAAGACAACAAAAAACATGCCAATTATTAGGAAATGAAAAACAGCTGTCATCTTCTTCTCAGCAGCAGTGTTGTTCTGGTAACCTTCAAAGCATCGGGTTATGCCTGAGTCTGAGTTGGTCCCAGGTGAGGTCAGATAYGGGATGGACATGGACACGGTGAACAACCAGATAGCAACAGACACAACGATCCCACGACGCCTGTGGTCCGAGGAGGCTGCGTCCAGGGGCCGAGTGATCGCCCAGTATCGATTGAGGCTGATGGCTCCGAGGAAGAGGATGGTACCATAGTTGTTGATGAAAAAAAGCGAGCCTGTCAACTGGCACATGAAGTCCATGAACACCCAGTTACCCTTGCGGCTGTAGTAACTAACCCAGAAGGGAAGGGCACACACAAAAAGCAGGTCAGCAATAGTCAGGTTGGTCATGTAGATCCTGATCTCTGCCATAGCCCTCGCTTCCCGGAGGCACCGCAGGACAAACAGCACGTAGATGTTGGCAATGAAGCCCACAAGGAAGAAGATGCTGTAGGCAATGGGGAAGAGAATGTACCGGAAGTCTGAGTCCAGAAAATGATGATCTGTAGAGTTTCCTGGAGGACTCTTCGATTGTTCCATTTTTTTGTGTGTGTGTCTGGAGAAGACAAAACAAACAAAATCAGTAAATAAAACTTTAAAATGTAAAGAAAATACAAGCAACCGAGTTTAGATCAGGAAGTGGAAGTCTGCTGAGTTAGCAATTTCTTTCTTTTAAAAGGAAGTCTTTGCAGAGTTCTTACAAAACACTTGGTCGTTAACGCAGTGTCATAACAAAAAAAAAATACAAAGAGAAGTTGAAATGTCATTTGAYTTGAAATATTTGTTGGTTGTCATGGACTCTTAGTCCTAGAATAGAAAATGGTTGGATTACTGTAATCAAGGAAAAGTAAAATATCAACAGCCAATTCTTTAAAATGGTTTTAATGCAGCAGCGTTATTTGCAGAAAGTGTGGAGGAAGTAAACAACTCTATGTATTGTTCCCTTTTCACCACTTAGTATTCATTTCTAAACTTTCATATGACTAGTTGGTCCCTTTTTTCTTACTTTTCATTCCTCTTCCATCCAGCTTTCATTCTTTATTGTTCTTTAATAAAGCATATTTTGGGACGTGTCTTCATATGATGCACCTATAAATTACAACAAAAGAGTAGGAAAAAGGGCACCTTTTACTAAAACTAACAGCGTGTGTTCAGGTTTCTGTCTGACTAAGCTAAGATCTAAATTGTCACATCTTCCTGTCTGTAAGTGTGGTTTGACATAGTTTATTGCTTTTACCTGTGCAGTCACTGAAACTGAAACTCAGAAAAATGTGTTAGATGACCAGGCTTAAACTGGGTGCGTTTGGTTCTTGCTGGTTTATAATTCAGTTTTACTAGACAATGCCACAAATTTAAAAAAAGAGGGCGGAGCTTGTTGCTAAATTTAGACTGGAGGAGATTTGAGGATTGATGATAAATGCAGATATCAAAACAAACTTTTGTTTTTGTTTTATTTTCACACCCGAAAATTACTACTTGAGAAAAACATTCATATTTTTAACTTTTAATTGCTCAAAATCAGTATTTGTTTCTATATTCACAATGTAATGCTAAACACATTCAAACAAAAGCTGAAGACTCTACAGGATAAAACTATCAAGGGGGTCACCAGTATTTTATAGGAGACCATTGCAGCCGTGACTTTTACTTGCAAGCTTTGTTAGCACACAGCAAAGATAATGGGAGGGTCTGTACTACTGTACTTCCAGTAAACCACAGACAAGTTTAAGCTTGTAACCAAAACGATGGATGGAAATTTTCTTATGCAGTTCAGGTGAAAACACAATCATTATGGTTGCTGATTTTTCACAAGATCAGCCTAAAATTTGTCATCTTGTTATCATCCATCAAACACTTTTATGAAAAAGATGACATTTTTTTGCAACAGGTATGCCAAACGTCATCAAACTTGATAAATTAACTGGGGATTTGTTTAAGGCAAACTCTTCAAATTCTATGAATCTTTTTTTTTGTTTGAATGTTTATACCAAATGGATGTGGTGACTGAATAGATAAGGGAGACAGAAAACAACATGTTGATTTTTATCAATTTACTGTAGTTGAAAGGTTCAATAAAAATGTCTCTGGAATGAGAGATGATTCAACTCATTCCAATGATTTTCTGCTGAACCTTTCAACATAAAAACACACGTCCCACTTTAATGTTTTTTCCTAAAATAAAAGTTTCATAATTCCCAGGACAACTGTACAAGAACATTGCATTCCTCATACTAAGCTTTTTAACTCACTGCTTACAAATACATCGTGTGGTTTTATCACATATGATTCATTTAGAACAATTAGTTATAATGACAACCTTTTATCAAATAAAATAATATTTCTTTTATTTTAACAAGCAAAAATGTCACCTGATGTATTTTATCAAGATGGACACAAAATTTGTGTTTCTTCATATATTGTTCGCTATTTATTCAGAATTTCTGTGTTGGGTTTATTTATTTATTTATTTATTTGAATTTTTAAATGTTATTTTATTTTATTTTATTTTATTTTTTGAGGTTTTGGTTCATTTTTCAACATGTCGAAGTCACGACTCTGCCAAATTTAAAAGCATTAAATGCAGTTTGAGGATGAAAACGAACCTCCCACACATATAACTTACTTTTAGTATTAATATTTACGAACAGGACCCATCTTTGCATCCAAAAATTAAAGAAATTTTTGTTTTTTTCTGTCCTTAATGCTGCTTTTGGCTTTCATAACCTTCTTTCATTATCATACACATTTTTAACCATTTTAGTCATAAAATATAAAAATACAGATACTCTGTTGCAGCTTTACAAAACAGGCTTTGGTGATAAACAATGTGTCTTTTTTTATAGGGAATAATTTTAACAAGTTTTTAATAAAAACACCAAAAGGATTTATTAAATGATATGTTGGCATTTTACTAGCCTTGTTGCTGTTGCATGATAATCAATTAATCTGCTATTAAATGTAATATATTTACAGTGAGAAAGAGAAAAAAAACATAGACAACAAACAAACTCCATCTGAAAAAGTCAGTTCAACAATGCTATATTTTTTGACAACAAAGGGTTAAAATCTGCACCAGATATCGAATAATGAGAAATACAAGCCTTAATAAATATCTTAATATATGATTAAATCTGTTTCTTTCATTTTGAGACCTGAGCATTTTTATCTAAATATCTGTCTATTAAATAGCTTATAGGAAAAGGCTTCAAAAAACAAAGAAAAACAGAAGAAATCAGCTGCAGACTTACCCTTGTCTATGTTCTGTGGTTCCACACTTTGAACTCTTCAGCGAAGGCGCAGCTCCTCCAGGCTGAGTCTGACTGTGTGTGAGAATGTGTGAGTTCTCAAATGAGGAAATGAAGAAGGCGTTAAGAGAAGAAAAAAAAACCCACATGACGCAAGATGCATATCCACCTCCATGTTTTCTCATGTTAGCTCGTGTCTTCCAAAGCGAAAGCCACACACTCCCACTTTGGCGCAATTTTGGAATTCTGCACATGGTTCTTATTTCTCAGTTCCTGGAAGATGTAAACTCATAGTGCTGGAAAACAGGAGCCCAGTAAAACAAATAAACAAACAAATATAAAAAGATTTTAAAAAATGAATAAATAAGGAGTTATTTCAGAGTGAGATATTGAATTGTATTAATAGACTGATAGATAGATAAATAAATGAAACACATTTTTTACCATCATAAAAAAGTCTCATCAGTGAGTAAGAATTGTCACAAGGCTGAGTGAAAAGCAGGATCCTGAAACCGAGAGAACGACAATAAACAGGAAACAGATCATTAATTGGTACCGAACTTTAAATACTCACAAGGCACCCGTGTTACCCAACAGATTGTAGTTACATCTGTCAATAAAAGATTTATRATCTGAGATAAACTGCCCCCAGAAGAATACAGAAGGTGCGTCAGACTGCAGGATAAGAGCGAGGATGACACAAACATCACAACTGGAAATGAAAATTTCATGGAAAAGAAATGAGAGTTAAAACTATGTTGGTCAAATCTTGTTAAATACAGTTTCACATGATATCTCACAATATTAGAACTGAAAGTGTTGTGTTGTAAATAACTCCCAGGTAATACCACACCAAATCTTCCCACACTGCAGACAGGTGTGGGCCAGTTCTAGTGTCAAGCTGGCATGGCTGAGTGGCTCCTGGAATGGCAAGTGATTTGTCAACTGAAAATGGGCCAAGTCTGGCAATAATGATACTGTTTATACGATGGCATATCTTATAAACAAATGGCCTGGTTGTGGTTTGATGCATGTGACCCATTTCTGTCAGTGCCACAACTGGCCCAGTTGTAGTTTAATGTATGTAACCCACATATATCAGTGAGACAACTGGACCAGTTTTGGTTTGATGTGTGTGGCCCATATCTATCAGTGCCGCAACTGGTCCAGTTGTGGTTTGATGTATGTAACCCATATATATCAGTGCCGCAACTGGCCCAGTTGTGGTTTGATGTATGTGACCCATATCTATCAGTGCCGCAACTGGTCCAGTTGTGGTTTGATGTATGTGACCCATATCTATCAGTGCTACAACTGGCCCAGTTGTGGTTTGGTGCATGTGACCCATATCTATCAGTGCCACAACTGGCCCAGTTGTGGTTTGATGCATGTGATCCATATCTGCCAATGCCACAACTGGCCCGATTGTGGTTTGATGCGTGTGACCCATTTCTGCCAAAACCCACAACTGGCCCGGTTGTGGTTTGGTTTATGGGGTGCTGGCCCATGCATAGACCACCTCTGGCAAACCACATCTGGGCCATCAAAGGGCCATCATTTTTCACATTATCAGTGTTGAGTGTTAGTTCAATGTGTGAGCCAGAATGGGGCCAGACAAATTTTGCAATGTAGGTTTGTTCAGTTAGCTGCAGCAGTCAAATATTTTTGTTGATTATATAGTTAATCAGTTAATTCAATTAAAATCCATCCAGTGGCTCAGAAGATTAATGTGTTTGTTAGCAAAATATCCAGTAAAGCACTGGATTGATTTTAATGAATCTCTGATTTCATCATTCAGCCATCCGGTTTGCCACTAATGCAGCCTTTCACACTCATCACTGTGATCTGTATAAACTGGTGGGCTGGCCCTCCCTTCACACCCGGCGCCTCCATCATTGGTTCCTCTTCATATACAGTGGGTAAAATAAGTATTGAACACRTCACCATTTTTCTCAGTAAATATATTACTAGAGGTGCTAATGACATGAAATTTTCACCAG